TTTCAAGAGATGGCTAGCACATCTGCAGATTGGCTACTTCAGGTGGCTTAGCACTTTGGGGTACCTGGGGAAGAGGGGAGGAGCCCAGCATTACCTGGCCTAACTTCCAGTTTTGTCAGGACTGAAATACTGCATTCCTGTCCCAGCCCAGCGCCAAGGTAAACAAATGGAAATAACACGTGCACAGCTCTCTCGGACGGGGGGCGTGAAGGTGCTTGCGAAGACATTACCAGCTCTGCAAATGAGGTTTGTCACCTAAGATTGGTGAGGGAGGAGAGCCATCATCATCGTTCCCCTTCCCTGAAGGAGCAGGACAAACGTGTCCTTGCACTGGCAGTGGGTCCTCGGTGCTGGGGTTACCGAAAATCCTTCGGCATGTCCGTGAAATGACTCAATGCCAGGTTAAATTTGCCCCGCTGCCGCGCTGGCGTGCCTCATTTTGCTTGTAAGGTTTGGCGTGAAAGCCTTTTCATCCCTCTTCGTGACAGACAGGTCCTCTGTTCGTCTCGGTGATGTCCCAGTTTGTACGTAGTTAGCTTGCTGCAGCTATGAGTATCGCACTGCTTGCTTTTCTTTTCCCTTTTTTTTATTAAGACTGTTTTTTTGAAAAAACACCATCGAGTGCGTGCAACTGCAGCGCAACAGGACCAGAAGTTTGAATGCATTAATTTGCTTTCGGATAATTAATGCCACTGTGCTTTCTTTTACTGTGAAACAAGATGACACTCAAACTTCCAAACTGCATCCAGGCTCTTCTGTCTCCGAATAAAACGTTTCTCAAATCCTGAGTGTGGCCACGGTGAAAGGGGAGCCTGAGCAGAAGAGGGGGAGGCAGGCACTTCCCCTGCGCCCGCTGGACCGCACTGGGAGGCAGCAGTGCCGGGTGTCCCGGGTAGCGTGTGACCCAGTCCGTCAGTTTAGGCTTTAAAAAACAACCCCCCCACCCCAAGAAGGGAAGACAAACTAACTGTGGCTTTGCTCCTGCAAGTTGTAATAACCGGGCTTGACCTGGGCTACTTTAACCATAAATGCAGTGGAGCAACACAGGAAGGTGCCTGTGTAGCTGAACCATGATTGTTTAATTTATTTGTTCCCCTATAAAGGATGTGTCAAGTAGAGCGTGTTTCCATTACGGGGATGGCTCCTGGGTTGTTTTGGGGTGCTGCTGAGCATGACATCACACTTACCGCAGTACAGGTCCTGTAGTGGTAAGAAGGAAAAGAATTGAAGTTTGGAGTTTTTCCCAAGGCTCGGGGATGCGTTGGCCGATATTGGGGATTCCTTAGAGAAACCATGGGATGTAATTTGATTACAGCAAAGAACTGCAAGGGTGACTTCCTCCTGGTGTCTGTTTTTCACTGTTAAAGTTTTTGACTGAAAAGTTTAAAGAGAGATTTGAATTTTGTACGATATTTAAATGAGGTGTAGGACTATGAGACCACTTCTGAACACACCCGAACAGTCTTGCGTGTACAACGCGCCTTGGCGTTGGCTAGAGCAGCCACACGGGTAACGTACGCCTTTGTCTTTCAGCTGCTTTTGCAGGTACGATGGCTCGTGTCTTCGTCTACGGCACGCTGAAGAAGGGCCAGCCCAACTACAAGCACATGATCAACACGGCCAAGGGGCTAGCGAAATTCCAAGGAAGGGGCCGCACGGTGGAGAAGTACCCGCTGGTGATCGCGGGAAAATACAACATTCCTTACATGCTGAACATCCCGGGGACGGGACACCACGTTGCCGGGGAGATTTACTCAGTTGACGACCAGATGCTGCAGTTCCTGGATGAGTTCGAAGGCTGCCCAGACATGTACCAGCGTACCCTGATGAGAATCGAGGTGGTGGAGTGGGAAGGGAAGGGCGGTGCGGGTGAGGCGCGGGCAGCTGCCGAGGGCGTCGTGGAGTGCTTCGTGTACAGCACGATGACATACCCACCCGAGTGGGTCGGCCTCCCCTACCATGACAGTTACGACTCCTCAGGGAAACACGGCCTCTCCTACGTCCTACGCGAAAGCCGGGATTAGAAATGGGAGATAACACAGCCCGGCTGAAGACGTAGTACTAAGCACGTGTCGATTGGTAACCTTTCCAGGAAAGCTGTAATACCTTTTTTATTAAAACACAGGATCTCTTGTAACATTCCCAACCCGGGAGCCTTGGCGCTAGCGTTGAAGTCTTGTAGGCCCAGAGATGGGGACTCCTCCCAGGTTAGTCAGCGTCCTCCTCGCCCCCGCTAACCTGCTGCGAGTAACTGCGTTTGCACGAGTTGTAAATTCACTTTATCTGTGCACATCGGTTCTGGGGTCTTATTAGTTTCTCAGTCTCCCCCTTTGCCTCAGTGCACGACTAAGGTCAGTGCAAGGCAGAGGAACAGGCTAATTTTTATTTTTTTTTTAACCTGAATTGACAAATTTCATTGTGTAGTTCTCCAAGGTGGGTGGAATAATGATGATACTATTGCACTAATAGCTGAAACTGATTTAAAAAAAAAAAAAGTCTGCAAACAAAGTAAAGCACAACTCGCATTTAATATTGACTTGTAATGGTGTTTGGTAGGTTACTGAATGTAAACAGGGAGAGGTGATCATATAGATACTATGCGCTTCAAGACAAATAAGAAATTGCTGGAGAAATAGAGAAAATTTACAGACTATTCTTACTCTGTATTGCGATGTTTTTCTGAACTGGAAAGGAGTATTTTTAAACCATGTTTAGTTTTATAAGGTACTGTGAAGAAGTATTAAAAGAGTAAAAGAGAATTACATTTAAAATTGTATTTTTAATTTAGCATTCTAAGCACTTTCGGTACCACTTCAGTTCAGTGAGTGACTCTGGGATTTGGGGGGCGGGAAGGTGTTGGGGACCAGGAAAAGCAAAGCTGATTTCAGCTGCCCACCACGCTACAGCGGATGCAGCTGTTGCGAGCACTTTGCACCACAAAAAGGTGACTTTTTGCCAAGCACTTTAATGCAGAACTTGCAACCATATGCAAACTGAATTTCCTGTCGGGGGGGGGGGGAAGATTTTATATACATTCTAAAAAATATCCAAAGGACCTGTATTGTGATTATTGCAACATTTCAACTGGGGGGGAAAGAAAAAAAAAAGATGGAAAGGAAGACTATCGTCCCCCTGACCCAACCAACTGTGCTGGTTTCTGTACAATCTGGGAGAATCATGACTTTCTGTTGTTACGCTCCTGTGCCTTATATTTTCCTTCAACTGCAGTGTTTGGTACATACAGATTGTACAGTATACAAAGCTGCCAAAGGGATGCGAGCAGGGAACGTATGCCGTGCAGTGAGCCAAAGTACGATTAAATGTACTAAGGATACCACTTTTGCTTCACTGCCAGTAGCCCTGTGATGGCCGGAGGAGATCCGGGTAGGGAATCAGCCCAGGGATCCAGGGTAAGGAATCAGCCTAAACTTTATCTGTAGTAGGCACTGCTGTATCTCATGTAGAAAAATGGACAGAAAGCTTGTGTTGCTGCAGTAAACAAATTAAATCATTTTAAAGTAGAATAGTTGTGTCTTTTTTACAATACTTGTTTTTTTGGTAAGGGCAGCCTGCAGAACCTGAACTGTGCTCCTGTTGGAAGGGGCAAGATGGCATTAAGAACATTTGTAGGAGGATCTGCAGGGTGTCTGCCTCAGTTTCTCCAACTGCAAAAGCATTAATTTTCCTGGAGGGCAGGTAGTACCCAAACACTCTCCTTACTCATCTGGATAGGTTTTGTAAAATAATTAACAAAGCAGATCCCTGTACTACATTACTCCCCCTTGGCCATGCAATGTAGTTGTCAGTGTCTCAATAACATGAAAAAATGCCTCTTCAGTCAGAAGGTTCAAGCAGAATCATGAACCTTTCTGGTCAAACATGAGTCACCAGCCCTGTCACAGACTGTATTCGTCCTTCACCTTCCGGTAGAGGACCCAGGTGCCTCTGGCCAGAGGTGCGGGGCGGTTTCTGGGAAGTAGCATGACTTTGCACATCCTAGGCAAGAAATAACAGCAGGTCCCCTCCTCTCTTTTGGGGTAGTAGCCAAGGCACAGCAGAAATGGTGACTTAGCTGTAGGAGGTGAGCGGGCAGCAGCGGAAACCTAGACAAGAGCACAGGGACAGGGATGATGCTTGCAGTGTGCAGGGACCGCGGAGGTATCACTGCGTCTAGTGAGCTGCTGACTTAGAGAGCCTCTGTTAACCACAGGCTAATATTTTGAACCCAGTAAACTTCTGCTGTCTACACCATCTTGTGCCATGGAGTTCCTCAGCGAGGAAGGGGGAAAAAAAATACATCATCTTACCTGTTCTGAACCAAGTCATCATCCCTCTTGCTTCTGTTCAAGTCTCTTAAATGTTCCTCCTCTCCAGGCCCTCTCTGGTTTCCCATACTGGATACACAGCTCTTCCAGCAGGATACAGTCCTGTATCATGAACAGTCCTAGTTCTTCACACAGTGTTTAGTAAGAGCCTCTGCACAACAAAACATCAGATGCTTGGTCTCCCTTTCCTGTAAGAGTTCAGGAGGAGGCCTGGCCTGAGGGACAGCAAGCACCTCTAGCGATACTTTGGGGTGGCGAAGGGGATTCAAGGACAGTGCCAGCTCCTTCTGTAAAGGCTTGCAACTAGTAATCGATAGAAAGAAGATAAAGGGAGGGGGAAATTTGAGTATGGAGTCTGAATAAAAGAAGAAAATTCCCTTACAACTGTAAATGAAAATACATGGGGGAAGTCTGCAATTTAAATCTAGTCTATACAAAGGCTTCAAAATATTACAAGGAACCTGATCAGAATTTAAGCCATCGGCAGTACTTTTTCAGTGCTGACACAGAGTGTAGGAAAACTCGGTTCACTCAGTGGGTAATTTTTCACTCTTACCAACCATTCTGGACAGTTTGGCTGGGGCCTCAAACCAGTGATATTGCCATGGAGAAGAGAAATCGGATTTGGGCTTTTGTTGTGTTTTCTTTTTTTTAAAAAAAAAGAGGCTTTTTCTGTTTTAAAGCAGAAATGGTATTTTATTGATTTTATTTGATCCTGAAAAATCAAAGAATTACAAAGGTTATGTACAAGTATTTCTGGAAGTAAGAATCTGGGATCTGTTGCCAAGGTTTAACATCTGTGTTTGCTGTCTTAACCACTGATACAATAAATATGACTGTATAAAACCTTGCGCGTAGGACTGTCCATTTTCTGTGTGCCTTTCTGTCTGAATTGCCTTAATCTTACATTACAGATGAAAATAATAAAGGCTTAGCTAATTCCAACAGTGTGGAGGCAACCTTTCATTCCAGTTCCACCAGCAGATCTCCTTCTCCAACGGTATCACCAGCTTTGCAGTGCACAGCTTTCACCTACAGTACAGAAACAGAAATAATTTCAAACCTTCCTCAACAGCATAATTAAAGAAATGGTTTGCTTGACAGTGCTGATATAGAGTATCACATCTGCACACACGGGGTAAACGGGCACTATGCAACATTACGACCACCACAGGGATCACAGATGAATGTATGTTGGAAGGACCTCAAGAGGCTGACAGCTCAACCTCCAGTGTTCAGAGTCCAGCTGAGTTTTGAGTGCCTCTGAGAGTGGAGAGTCCACTACCTCTCCAGTGCTTGACCAGATCAAACTCCCTCAAGGTATTTAGGCACCTACCACTGCCTGGTTTTCTTATGACTTAGGTGCTTGAAGACCTGAACATCAGATGGAGATGGCATTTTTAAAAATTAAAAGGCACCTTTCTTCCACCTGTTTGCACTGCTGTTCATTTACTACTAAAATTTTAAATCTTTTAGAGGAAAGGCTAACTCTTCAACACTCACACCTGATGTTTCAATGAAATATTGCGGTATTTCTTGCATTACAGATTTTAAGTCTAACTGAATTTGAGGACTGCAGCCATGAAGTGGGTTTCCCTCAGTCCCCGGGTGGCTGGGATAGATTGATTCAAATCTGAACTGGGATCCTTTAACATAACTGAACTTGGCAAAGGGCTACCGCTGTCAGATAAACGCAGCTACATCTGTAGATGAGTTATATACTCACGTGCAGATTCCTGAATTTTAAAACACAAACATCTTGTACTAGTCCTTCATTTCCTCTATAAAAGGCTGTAACGCGTTTGAATTCCCTTTCAGCACATGGAGCTCCAGAAAATATTTGAAGCTGTATATGAGAGTTTGCTTGCAATATTAATTCAGAGCTCACACTGACAGGCCCAAATCCTTGGTCAAAATCCTTGGTCAAAACCTTGTTCAGCAGTTAGCTTAGTTTAGTCATCCAAACATTACCTTGGGCTCCTAAGGGAAACGTGCAGCACACCCCAACTACCAGGCTACTACAGCTACG